GGCAGCCCGGCCCGCCGCGCCCTCCCCGCCCCCCACTCGCTCCCCAACGGAAAGTTCGGCTCCGGCTGCGTCTTCAAAGAAGCCGGGCATGAGCGGGGGTCGGGGGGCGCGCTGAGGGCGCGGGAGGGGGGCCGCTTCTCCCGGGAGGGCGCCTCCTGCCGAGCCCCGCGCGCCGCAGCCCCCGAGGGGCTTCGAGGTGGTTTTTCCCTTTCCTCCGCCTCCCCCCTGCGGATTCCAGACACGGACCTTGGTCCTGGCGCTCCCGCTGCCGGGTGACAAGAGCCAGCGCCGCCGCCGCCGCCTCGGCCGCCGCTCGCTCCGGCCGCCCCCGCCGCAGCCCCGGCCGCCCGCTCCTGCCCGCACCATGGAGTTCTCGGAGAGGAAGCGAAGCAGGAAATCGCAGAGCTTCAAACTGGTGAGCCGAGGTAAGCGGCGCCCGGGGCCGGGCCGGCCGGGCGGGGGGCGTGCGGCCGGCGGGGAAGGACTTGGCGCCGCGTAAACATCCCCGCGCCCGGCCGCGCGCCCCCGCCGGGGGTCTGGCTTCCTTCCCGAGGGGGCTGCGGCCGCACACGCGGGCGGCGGGGAAAGTTGTGCGGGGGGAGAGGCAGGATGTTATTCCGCGTAAACAAGTCGGAGGGCACATCAGGAAATTAGCAAACAATGACACTTGGGGAGCCGAGAGGCTTCTTCGGTATTCCGCTCCTGTAGCTAGGTTGGGGGGTGGGGGAGGTCTGCCTTTCCATCAGGCTGTGCGGACACGAATCCCGACCAATGGTTGTGGGGTTTTATTTTCCCCCAAAGAGAAGGAAAAAAGGTGGTGGTTCTTTTAAGAACGAGAAAGAAGCTCATTAGGTGTACAAACCTAAATGAGAATTGTTGACATCCAGCATCTTTTCTAGATACGTTAGTTGGGTTGGAAGGGTGTTGTAGAACAGATCACTTATCAGCCAGACAAGTATCATTAAGACAAAAAAAACCCCGCCGGTTACTGACGATTTAACAGGTGTACACCACAGTCTTTGGGGCTTGGGTTTATTTTCTCAGGGGAGGGGCAAGTTGAATAGTCTTGTCCGTGTTCAGTTACTTGTTAGAGTCTTTATTTTCCTGATTTGACTTTTTAAAAAAGGATGAGCACTTAAGAGCAGGCGTAAAAATAATGTCTATCAAAATGCATTGTGTCACCTTAAATTGGAGGGAGGTGACTTTTTTTCATCGTCATGTCACAAGTCTTAATATTGAGGTTAGAACCTGTTTAAATATCTTCTTTGAATCAACTTGAGGTCAAAACCCAACCAGAGAAGCTATCCTCTTTTCCTCTGTTTTATCTAGCATTGGCATCAGAGTAGAGAGCAAGGCGATTGTTTTAACAACCTGGAGAAGTCACATGTAAGCTGATGAAAATTAGAGAGCAACTGCAAGTAATAGAGCTTTTCAAGATAAGCTGGGCTAACGATGATGTAGCTTCAATATAGCTTGCTTTTGGTTAGTCTGAAAATGGTCTGATTGTAGACATTTTGAAGATCCACTCATATCTGTTTCCCCTGATTTCGTTTGGATACTTTTTAATGAAAGAGGCCTGAAATAGTTTTATGTATTCAAAATATTTGGCTCCTCCCTTTATGTACATTTTTTCTAGTAGTGTTGATTACAGTCATTTGTACTTTAAAAGTCTCTCCATATGTGACTAGCCTGTTGGTCTATCTGATTCATTCAACAATGTAGGCTGCTTTCTTGTTTATCACCTCAGGGCACTTACTACTTTATCTTAAAAGTGAGAGTCCTTTTGTAGACCTCATCCTGTGAGGTCCAAGGCCAAAAAAAAGGGAAGAGCTGTTAAGAAGGTTTTCTTACCTAGATGATCCTACTTTTTAGAAATAGACAATTGCCCAAGTACAGTCGCCTCTATAGAGAAGCTTGGGAAATATTGTATTTTAAAGTTTGACTGACATAGCAATTTTTTTCTTTTTCCTTTTTTCTTTTTTTTTTTAAATTATGAGTCTGCTTCTCTCTGCTCTGCAGGTGCATTTTTAGAAAATAAATTATTGTATATTAAAGTGCAGTAGCTGACTGCAAAAGATTCACTTGTGTGAAAGATGAGAATCTTGCTTTCTTATCCAAATTATACTATTTTTGAAATAACAAATCAGTATTTTCATATGTGTTTGCCTGCAAGCTGCTTAAAGGCTGGGATTTTTCTGGGTAAACTGAGAAAACTGAGAGCATTGAGTAACTCTAAAGCATACTATTGATGTACTCATGAAAATGGGCTGTAGAGATAAATTTGGAATCCTCCCCTGGCCTATGATTGGGTAAGATTTTTCTTTTCCTTATAAACAGACTTGTCATTTGAAGGAAAAGAAGCCTAGTAATTGGCATCTGTGGGTCAAATTTACTGTAAAAACTGTGTGACCAAGCAAAGCTGTTTTCTAAAGTTAAAGTAATATCTCAAGTTTGTATACGTCTTCGGAGTAAGCAAAGTTTTAGGAGTTATTAGTGACTACAAATTCTGTGATTAACCGAAAATTCTTGAAAATTCTATTTATAAATTGAAAGTTGTATTTATAAATTATAGATTATACATACTATATATAATGAGACTCTAGTCTTTATTGCTTATTCATATCTCGCAGGTCATTAGAATCTAATTTTTGGTTGTTTTCTCATCCCAGATTATCACCATGAGGTGTATAAGAGCTCAGAATTCAGCAACGATGTTAATGGGGAGGCCAAAGAGACACAACCCATTTTTTTAGGTAGGTTCTTGTGTCAATTAATTTCTCAGCAAAACAGTGTGGCTATTTGCAATTAGGGGGAAAAAAAACGATTGGGCCAGAATGGGAAACGTCTGCCATTGCTAAATGTATGACATTCTTTTCAAGACCTTTTATTTTACAGATTGCCAATATATCCCTTATTAACATTGCTAAAAGTTGTAATTTCAGACATAAATGTTTATTAGTGTCTACACACAGTGCTAATTATCACTCACTCCCAGAGCCAGATGCTGACTGTGCAGTTTTGACGCTCAGCGCTCACCCCATTTACATTGCATATTCGCTGGCATGCTTCACTGGCAATAGTTTGTGTAATTGGGGTATTACATCTTTGACATCTGGATAACAGAAATTCAATTTCCAGGAAGCCGCTATTTGTTTGGTTTTGCTTCTGCCTTGGGTGGGATAGAGGATTAATATGCTGTCTTATTATAATGTCCCTTCACCTCTGTGGCCTGGTTGCTAATCCTGCCATGACAAAATTAAATTAAATCTACAGTCCAAAAGCATAAGGAAAATGAAAGTGTGATTGTCCACCTAACCACCTCTTGACAGTACCGGTTATCATAAAGCAGCTCCTCACTTTGCTGGCGTTGTGTTCATTTCACACCAACACTTGTGGTCAGAGAGTAAAGCCGTGCTTTGCTCTTACCGTCCTCATTCCCAGCTCGCCTCAGGGCCAAGCAGAGCAAAAGCAGCATCTTTGAGACCTTCTGACGCGTGTAACTGTGTGACGGACAAGTAGGTAGCCAAAAACGTTGGCACTCTTTCCACATGTAGTTTTTGGTACAAATACCTTACCTGAAGCCTCTTGCATGTGCAATGGTTATTTGCAGACTGTGAGCCAAAAATTAAACGACTTAGGATTTTGCCACAAAGAGTGCAGTACCCATGAAGTTGGTGTGGAGAGTAAATGGTGGCATTTGGCTTCAACCTCGCCTGTCCTGAGCACCTGCAACCCGTGGTTGTAGGGTGAGGGCTGGGTGCTGTACAACAGGCAGCAGAAAATGGGAGACAGCCAGGGCAAGAGTGATTACAAGCAAAGGGCAGAATTGCCATTTCCCTGGGGAGCCGATCGGGCTTAGGGAAGCAGGGTTTCTGCTCAGACCCAGCGTGAGGACTACTGCAAATTAAAGTAAGTGAACACTGAAGGTGTAGTGTTTCTCCAGGGTCTCTCTTTTTTGGTTTGAGGAAGAGAAAGGGTGGGTTGCAAAAGACTGAGAAGTCAAACAGATACTTAATGGAAGTAAAACAGAAGGGAAATAGCATTTCCTTTTTTTTTTTTTTTTTTGTGTGAGGAAGATCAGCCCTGAGCTAACATCCATGCCAATCCTCCTCTTTTTGCTGAGGAAGACCGGCCATGAGCTAACATCTATTGCCAATCCTCCTCCTTTTTTTCCCTTTTTCTCCCCGAAGCCCCAGTAGATAGTTGTATGTCATAGTTGCACATCTTGCTAGTTGCTGTATGTGGGACGCGGCCTCAGCGTGGCCGGAAAAGCGGTGCTTCAGTGCGAGCCTGGGATCCGAACCCGGGCCACCAGCATCAGAGCACGCGCACTTAACTGCCAAGCCGCGGGGCTGGCCCCGGAAGTAGCATTTCTTACACAAGCGATCACTGAAGGCACATGGATCTTTCCAAGGAGGGAGAATATTACTGAGGCCAGCACTACTCAGCACCAAGAGAACTAAAAACCAAAAGGTTAGTAGTCAAGCGAAATGCTGTGACCAGAAGGAGAATATTCTTGGATTGTGCTCTTCTCAGTTCCTCAAACTTAATAAGTTGGGATTCTGTATTTTCGGTTCCCTAAACGTGATCGGTTGGAATTCTGTATCTAAGTACCACTCAATTTAGCCATTTGAAATGAAGAGTTTGCCTTTTAGTAGAAAATTTGCATTTATCATAAAATGGAACATCATGTCCCTGGTTTAGTTATTCTTCAATGAAGCAGGCTTTTCCCCCCTTTGTGCTGTGTAATTGGAAAATGGTAAGGACGCTATCCAGTCAGTTAATTCTGGGTGTGGGAGAGTGGAAGATGAAGGAAAGGAGATGCAAGTGCTCAGAATTCAGTAAAATGGAAACCCTTGAGGGGCAGACATTACTGCTTTCCCTTTTCCTAGCCCGAGTCCAGGAAGGTAAGAGAACATAGTGAAAGACCAAGTATTGAGAGAAGCTTTCCAAGTTCTTGGTCAAGAAGGCTTAGACATGCGGAGACAAAAGATTGAAAGTGTGCCTGGGTCACTTCTCAATCTTTTGCTCTTTCTGGGGAAAGTGTGATATGGTTCCCAAAGAATATTTTTATTTTGTGATCTCTAGGTCAATTTAAAAAAAGCGGACGAACATATGATTACACAAACGTAGTTGCTAGAACAATGGAGAATAGTGACTGATAGCATATGGAATTAAGAATTTTGTTGTTGACGCTGTTATAAAACGGACATTTTTCGGTTTATAGTTACTATTCTCAAAACATAGATTTAAATCATGTTTGTTTTGAAAATTGCTAGAGTCTATCCATAATATTAGTCATTATGGTGTAGAATTCTGTGTGAGGTTTACGACATCCAAAGGAGTTTGTTGGCAAAATACCAGAAGAATTGTTTCACCAGAAGAATTGTTGCACGTGTTACTAAAACACGGCCCCCAGGATATTGTATAGGATTTTCTGTGTTCAGACATATGTGTTATCTTTGATACTATCTGCACCTATAAGATTAAAGTTCGTGTCTTGGGGAAAGAGAGTGCTCCAGAATTTGGCAGAGGTTCCCACATGAAATCTATTTCTCTGGGGTATTTTTAGGCTGTTGAATAACGGAGAGCATGCACCATGGTAGGATAGCTTGGTAGTGTGAATGGCGTGGCTGAGAGCTTTGGGAGTTACTCACACATCGTTAATGTGATAGTAGGGTCAGAAGAGTTACTTTATCCCGTGGACATTGACTTTGTCAAGCTGGCTGTGATGGGCTATGGTAAGATTTGAGCACTGTTTGGAGAAAAAGCTTAATTCATTTTAATCAAGTCAACAGGTGTTTTTTGAGAAAATGCTATGAACTCAGCACTTTTCAGAATGAGTGGGGTTGGGGGGTAACCAAAGAAATGGAGAGGACAGGGATCCTGTTCTCACGGATTAAATCCGATTAGGGAGATAGCACAAATGCAGGACACAGTTAAGGAGCAGTTTTCAGCAATCAGAACAGCCACAGTGATTGAGCGCTTACTGTGTGCACAGCATTGAGTTGAGTACCTGACGTGAATTATCTCCTTTACTTCTCACAGCCACTCTGTAAGAGTCGTTTTCATCCCCGCTTTGTAGATGAGACTTAGAGATGTTAGGTAGCTTGCCAGAGGGCTCTCAAGTAGCAGATGTCATAGCTAGGATCCCAGTGCACGTCCACCCGAGCTGTAAACACCCCACTGTACCGCCCCCTCTGGGTGAATGATAATTAAAGGACAAATGTGAACCATTAGGGCAATGAGCAAAAGCAGAGTTGGAAGGGAAGGATCAAATTTAGAGTAGGGTGGAGAGCTCTGGAAAAGCTGGACCTTGAACGAGGGGAAGATGTATAGATAGGCAGAGGGGAGTTGGAGAAGATTCCAGGTGGGGGGGGGTGCTGTGAGCCACACACAGGGATGGGCATCATTGTAATCCGACTTGAAGTGTGGGTTGCCCTTTATAGTTTAGAAAGTGCTTTCATATCTATCATCTTATGATTTTTACAGTATACCTGTGAGCAGTTAGTGTGGATGTTATTTTCCCATTACCCAGGGGAGGAAACTAGAAACTAAAGCTCAGAGTTAAGTGGCTTGCTCATAGATAGCAAAACCTGGAGTAAACTCACATCTCCTGTCCAGAGATCTTTTCCCCCTACCACGTTGAGCCAGGCAAATTCAAGGATCACCAAAGAGACCTTAGCTGGTAGCAGGGCACATTGAGGAAGTATTTTAATGAGACAATTAATTTATTATTCATAACAATAATACACACATTTAATAAAATCTCTTTTTATACACTGGATTTTGTTTTATATTTACTATTATAGTATGTAAATTTGAAACATGTCTATATTTTAGGCATTCAGTCTCATTTATTTATTCGTTCAACAAATATTTATTGAGCTCCAATTATGCGCCAGGCCCTGTTCTAGTAGTTCTTCTTAATATTCAATTCAGTTATACAACTTTGAGAAGATGAAACACAGGGTGTGGTAGCCATGCCAATTGAGCAGAATCGAGATCTCTGAATTTTTGAATCTCTTTTCAGTGGCTTTCTTGATGACAGCTACTCCCACCAGGGTCCCCAGAATCTACTCCAAGATGACACAAAAAATTCCTACCCACTTTTCCAGGTTAGGGAGTTAGCCCCTAACCACTGTGTACTTCCCCTCCCTGGAGAAGTGGGCGGGTCCGTGTGTGAAATGGGAGGGCTCCTTACCTGGAGTCCAGTGGCCTGGGTTCTTGTTTGGTCTCGAAGGGATAGGGAGCTGGGCCCTCCTCCTAATAGGGGTTTCACGGTCCCTGTGGCTGAGGTTCCAAGAGTGAGAAGCAACCTCAAATCAAATGAAGGTCCAAGAGGGCCTGAATGTCTCTTGGGGTTAGGAATGTGGCCGATAATAGGTGTCATTTGTGGAGAGCTTGCTGTGTGCCATCACTATGCTAAGAACTTTGTATATGTTATCCCATTAATTGTCCCAAGAAAGGTATTATTATTTCCACTCTATGGGTAAGGAATTTGAGGAGTTCACAAGGTAACTCAGTGACAGAACCAGGATAAAACCAAGGTCTTCTGTCTCCAAAGCCATGCTTTGTTCCAGTGACTTCCATGTGGAACCCCAATATGTACAACAGGTAAGGGGGGAGCAGGGCTGCTGGAAGCAGGTGGAGGACACCCTGAGCGCCTTGGACCACGTCCCACATTCCTCTCCTCCACCCCCCCCCCCACCTCCAGTGGCCTCTGCAGAACTCAGGGTGCCCTTATCACGAG